CATCCATCCTTGTTCGTGCAGAATCCTGCTTGCTCCTCCCTTACCGTGGTGTCAATGGCTGATTCCATGCATACATTTTCAGTAAAGGAGAATAAAAAAGTGTTGATTTCGCAAATCTCCTAAATAGGGCTTCACTTTAAAGTATTATGTTTCTCCCCCTCTAATTTTCAAATCAACAACAGAAATAATATTCTATGGTGATTTCATTGGATTTCTTCCCATGGTTTACATTTACATCATTTAGTAGAGGGGCTAGCAGGCCAGAGGTGGATGAACGTAGTGCCCTCATTTGGGTGTAGGGTCTGATCAGAGCCTGAAGGTAAGGAGGTGCCATTCCCCTCACAGCTCCGTAGGCAAGCACCATGGTCTTGTAGTAGATGCGAGCCTCAACTGGAAGCCAGTGGAGTGTGCGGAGGAGCGGGGTGACATGAGAGAACTTGGGAAGGTTGAACACCAGACGGGCTGCAGCATTCTGGATAAGTTGTAGGGGTTTAATGGCACAGGCAGGGAGCCCAGCCAACAACGAGTTGCAGTAATCCAGACGGGAGATGACAAGTGCCTGGATTAGGACCTGTGCCGCTTTCTGTGTAAGGTAGGGTCGTACTCTGCAAATGTTGTAGAGCATGAAACTGCAGGATCGGGTCACCGCTTTGATGTTAGCGGAGAACGACAGGGTGTTGTCCAGGGTCACGCCAAGGTTCTTTGCACTCTGGGAGGAGGACACAATGGAGTTGTCAACCGTGATGGCGAGATCATGGAGCGGGCAGTCCTTCCCTGGGAGGAAGAGAAGCTCCGTCTTGCCGAGGTTCAGCTTGAGGTGGTGATCCGACATCCACACTGATATGTCTGCCAGACATGCAGAGATGGATTCGCCACCTGGTTATCAGAAGGGGAAAGGAGAAAATTAATTGTGTGTCGTCTGCGTAGCAATGATAGGAGAGACCATGTGAGGATATGACAGAGCCAAGTGACTTGGTGTATAGAGATAATAGGAGAGGGCCTAGAACTGAGCCCTGGGGGACACCAGTGGTGAGAGCACGTGGTGCGGAGACAGATTCTCGCCATGCCACCTGGTAGGAGCGACCTGTCAGGTAGGACGCAATCCAAGAGTGAGCAGCGCCGGAGATGCCCAACTCGGAGAGGGAGAGGAGGATCTGATGGTTCACAGTATCAAAGGCAGCAGATAGGTCTAGAAGGATAAGAGCAGAGGAGAGAGAGTTAGCTTTAGCAGTGCGGAGAGCCTCCGTGACACAGAGAAGAGCAGTCTCAGTTGAATGACCAGTCTTGAAACCTGACTGGTTTGGATCAAGAAGGTTATTCTGAGAGAGATAGTAGGAGAGTTGGCTAGAGACGGCACGCTCAAGAGTTTTGGAGAGAAAAGAAAGAAAGGATACTGGTCTGTAGTTGTTGACATCGGAGGGATCGAGTGTAGGTTTTTTGAGGAGGGGTGCAACTCTCGCTCTCTTGAAGACGGAAGGGACATGGCCAGCGGTCAAGGATGAGTTGATGAGCGAGGTGAGGTAAGGGAGAAGGTCTCCGGAAATGGTCTGGAGAAGAGAGGAGGGGATAGGGTCAAGCGGGCAGGTTGTTGGCCGGCCGGCCGTCACAAGTCGCAAGATTTCATCTGGAGAGAGAGGGGAGAAAGAAGTCAAAGTATACCATGGCAGTCCACCATTATATAATAATCTGAACTGTTTATCGAGTTGTACATGGCATCATTGTAATCATTGACCATCAAGACATAGGTGTAGACATCACCTTTTCTATGTTATCATGCTTGGTTCAGCAGATATGACGGAAAATACATTGTCCAGTTATGGCGGAATAGCAAAATGACCGCCACGGCCGCCAGGGGGCGTTTTTGATGTTGTGCATGGTATCATTTTAATCCTTAACCATCACAACGTAGGGGTAGACATCACTTTTTCTGTGATTTAATGTTTGGTTCAGGAGATATAATGCAAAATACATTATTTGGTTATGGCGGAATGGAAAATGGCTGCCACGGCCGCCAGGAGACATTTTTCCAATGCCTCCATATCTGAAAATATTCAGGGACCCAAACTGTACAAGTGAACCAAGTTTCATGCTTTTATGAAAAAGTTCACATCATTTTCACATATGCCTGAACTATTTGGATAAATTATCCAAATGAATAATCTGTTTTCTGGCATGGTAATGTGGAATGACTTCAATCAATAGATAATATCCTAAGCCCAGTTGTGAGGAATCTGGTATTGACTTGGACCCCCAGCACATAGCCTAGCAGGCAGCTGTCATGATCGTCGAACAGAGATGAGGACCAAGGCGCAGCGTTGCAGGCAAACATACTCTTTATTAGAGACACGATCAAAAACCACAAAACGAAAACGTGACAGTTCACGGTCTAACACAACAGACTCGAAACAAGATCCCACAAACTCTGTGGGGAAACAGGCTGCTAAAGTATGGTTCTCAATCAGAGACAACAAGCAACAGCTGAATCCCGTTGCCTCTGATTGAGAACCACACTGGCCAACATAGAACAACAATACTAGAATGTGAAACCTAGAACAAAACACAGACTTTACACACCCTGGCTCAACATATTAGAGTCCCCAGAGCCAGGGCGTGACAGTACCCCCCCCTAAAGGCGCGGACTCCGACCGCGCCCACCAAATACCACAGGGGAGGGACCGGGTGGGCACTCCGCTTAGGCGGCGGATCCGGCTCCGGGCCTGATCCCCGCTCCCTCTCCAACCCCCCAAAGTATCCCTGGTCCGGTCTGGCCCCGCTGGCCGGAGCTGGACTGCACACTGGTGGAGCGGATTGCCTTAGCTCCGGTGGCTGCCGGACCAGCCACCGGTGGAACAGGCACGGGCCGTGCCGGACCGACGACGCACACCACTGGCTTGGTGTGGGGAGCAGGAGCGGGCCGAGCCGGGCTGACGAAACGCACCACTGACTTGCTGCGGGGAGCAGGAGCGGGCCGGACCGGGCTGACGAAGCGCACCACTGACTTGGTGCGGGGAGCAGGAACGGGCCGGACAGGGCTGACGACGCGCACCACTGACTTGGTGCGGGGAGCAGGAATGGGCCGGACTGGGCTGGCGACGCACACCACAGACTTGGTGCGGGGAGCAGGAACAGGCCGGGCCGAGCTGGCGACGCGCACCGTAGACTTGGTGCGAGTGGCAGGAACAGGCCGGACCGTACTGGGAACACACACCACTGGCCCTACGTGGGGATCAGGAACAGGCCGGACTGGACTGGCAACACACGCCAGTACCTCTCGCCGTGCCTCTACATCCTCCTTCCCCCTGGTGACCAGTGACTCCCGTAACCTGACGGCCTCCTGCTGCCCCGTCGTCCACGGCGTTAGCCCCCCCCCTAAAAAATGTATGGGCTTCACTCCTACCCGTGGACCAGGTCTCCATGCTTCTCGCCAGCCTTTCGCCCTTCTGCCTCCACGTCAAGCCCCTCTCTTCCTCACATGGCTTGACCCAGTCGAGGAGGCGAAGGAGATCCGCTAGAGATCTCTCAGGCGATGGCTCCTGGACTTGCTGCTTGGTCCAGTCTTGGTGGGATCTTCTGTCACGATCGTCGAACAGAGATGAGGACCAAGGCGCAGGGTTGCAGGCAAACATACTCTTTATTAGAGACACGATCAAAAACCACAAAACGAAAACGTGACAGTTCACGGTCTAACACAACAGACTCGAAACAAGATCCCACAAACTCTGTGGGGAAACAGGCTGCTAAAGTATGGTTCTCAATCAGAGACAACAAGCAACAGCTGAATCCCGTTGCCTCTGATTGAGAACCACACTGGCCAACATAGAACAACAATACTAGAAAGTGAAACCTAAAACAAAACACACAGACTTTACACACACTGGCTCAACATATTAGAGTCCCCAGAGCCAGGGCGTGACAGCAGCACATTGGGCTGCAGTTCATTTGCAGGTATTCATACATGTTTATGAATATACATATACAGAATGTACAGGATATGAATTTTTCATTGAAGATACAGCTTATGAAATAACAATGACATTTGGTAAGGACACCGCAAATGCAGTAGCTCACCAGTTTACACAGATGTTGATACACCTACCAGCAGAACAATAGCAAACTTTATGTGACAATATATAGGCCTAAGTAGCAATCCCACAATCAACTTGACTGATGTCGATGTTCCCAATTTAACAAAGGGCGAGAAACTCATGAAATAAGGGGAGAAACCCGAAAAACGATTTCAACTCTTCCGTCTTCCATCTTTATGTAACGGCATTCAATATGAAACATACCATCTCTCCTTCCTCCCTGGAGAATGCATCTTTGGTGTTCAGGGTTATATTTAAAGATAGACAGACCACTGACAGGGTTGCAGAGCAGCACTTAGTAAGCCCAAGTCATCCTGTTTAATAATGCAGGAACACACATGCAACAGGCACATGGCCATGCATATTAAAGCACCAGTGCAGCCCTGCAAGAAAGAACACCAGAGAGGATGGGAGAGGGTGGTCTGGGCTATTCTCTATCTTTACATTGAGACATTTTCTCCCTGTGAACATTTCTTTAGGTCATGTCTCACATGTAGTCTTCTCCCGAGGCTTCCATCTGCAAGCTAGACTGTAGACTGCAGGTTCTGCAGACAGTGCTCTCTTTAACTCTGGCTTTGAGCCTCAGTTAACCTTGCATTGTATAGTGAGTGAGGTCCCAGATCAAGTTGCCTCAAAGGGTGATAGGATACTTTTTCTTTCTGGGAAACTTTTACTGGCTATAGTGGATGTCGTTGTAACAAGCATAACCCGCGCAATGTATCGAGTTGTTCAAGATCAAGTTGTATACTACTGTCATCACTTTGAGTGTCATCGTCACAGCCGGTGCATGAAGTGAGACCCAACATTTTACTCTCCCTTGTAGCAGTTGGTTCTAAATTCGTTCTCGGTGTAATGTTGCCACCTTTTGTTCTAAAAGTGTACTGCACCGGAAGTATTGATCTTCTTTCTGCCATACGTCATCACACTTCCTGCGCACGTGTAGTCCACATTAACTGTAGTTGTGTTCCTAGGTAGCTAGCTAGCTCTATGAATAGCTTATTTTAGTTACTTATTAATGTATTGATCATCGTATTCGAACTTCGAGGCGAGGCTGCACGGTAAGTTGAGATCAACAACGTTGACGTAAATGTAAGAAACGCTTGTGCAAAGCGTGACTAACCCACATGCTAGCCACTTAGCTAGCTAGCTAACTAACGTTACCCAGTGTCAGCAGGCAGTGCCTATCCTACGGCTAGCTAGCCTCTATCTATGTTCGGATGACGGAGCGTAGAGGCTAACGGTTAGCTAACTGCTATGTTTGTTTTTGCTACAGCTCTCTGCAAAAATGACCACATGTGATCTGATAATATGATTGTCCTGAACCCATTTATCAACATAAATCTATTCCAGGCCATCTGATCTGTCTGGACACGTGAGGTGGAGAGGATGAACATCGAGGAGAATAAAGTGAATGAGGATATGGCTGATAATGATGATGAAGAGTCTGGAGAAGTGCCCAAGATTGAATCAGATGAAGGTGAGGATGACGACAACCCAGAGGATGATGATGAGGAACTTAAAGAACAGGCTGAAGGCGATCCCAAAGAGGAAAAGGTGTCAATAGGCAAGAAGTGTCTGCCTGGAATAGTGTATTTAGGTCATATACCACCAAGACTGAGACCCAAGCATATGCGCAACATGCTGAGTCTGTACGGGGAGATTGGAAGGATATTCCTACAGCCTGAAGGTAAGACTGCACTCACTCTGCATGTTAAAATCAACCCTGACACTGTCTGACAGGATTTCAATGTTTTGTCTCAATCATCATTACAATGTTATCTGTTGTCCTCAGACCGGTCTGTGAAGAGGAGGAAGAAGAAAGCAGGCTCCAAGGCATGCAGTTTCACTGAGGGCTGGGTGGAGTTCAGGGACAAGAGAGTGGCCAAGAGAGTGGCAGCTAGCCTCCACAACACACCGATGGGCGCCCGGAAAAGGAGCCGTTTTGTCAGTGACCTCTGGAACATCAAGGTATCTCAATATTCTCTTCAATGATCTCTGTGTGGACATTTTAGTGTAACTACATTTAACTTTGGTAGTTTAAAGCACTGTCGTAACACGCATGCCACACGTCCCTTATTAATAGAAACTTTAATACCAACATTTATTTTATTTTTGTTGAAATTTTTACTGTCAGAATAATTATTCTGACTCTAATTGTCCATTTTATTGTTCAGTACCTCCACAGGTTCCAGTGGTGTCACCTGAGTGAGCGACTGGCCTATGAGATGACTGTGCTCCAGCAGCGCCTCAGAACTGAGATCTCTCAGGCCAAACGAGAAACCAATTTCTACCTGGCCAACGTGGAGAAGAGCCAGAACATGGACAAACTGAGGAAGAAGAGGGAGCGGAAGGGTGAGAAGATAGAGGAGAAGACGTGGGACTTCACCCAGCGACGTACAGAGGATGAGATCCAGATGAGTCGCCTCCGTAAACAGACCATGTCCAAGAAGAACCTGCTGAAGGCCCAGGACAAGGCCAGGGACATACAGCAGAAGTCCCAGTCGAACGTCTCTCTGCTGGCCAAGATCTTCAACAGCAGCAAAGCCAAGGACTGAACCCATCCCAGCAGTCTTGGCAAACACAGGATCCCAGGACTTGTCTCATTCAGTATCACAATTAGAGCATCCTTTTGCCCCTGACACTTGCTGGTGTTGTGAGCGACACTGAGAAGATGGGCTCTATCCAGACACATACAGACTCACAGGGAAAAATAGGGTTTTCTCCATCAGTGTAATTTGATTATAATTGTAGGAGAGACTTGGACAGGTCCTCTTTTTGATTTAATGCATTGCAAACTATAAGCTATGATGCAGTAATAATATTTTCAGCATCATGGAAAACACGTGCTCATACTGTATGTGCTATTTGTAAACATTTAGTAAAAATATTTAATGGAAATAACTCAATCATTATTTCATTTAATTAGTGTAAAGATAAACACAAACCATACATACGCTGAACAAAAATATAAACGCAACATGTAATGTGTTGGTGCCATGTTTCATGAACTGAAATAAAAAATCCCAGAAATGTTCCATACGCACAAAAATATTATGTATCTCAAATTTTGGCAACAAATTTGTTTACATCCTTGTTAGTGAGCATTTCTCCTTTGCCAAGATAATTAGTTTTGTTCAGTATACAATATGTATTTCAATACTTTCAGACTCCTGGTACAGGTAATATTAACAAGAACAGAACATTTGGTCCATGACAGAAATGAGACCAAATCTGGATCAAAATTACTCATTACTGATTTACGTTTAACTATACTGAACAAAAATATAAACGCAACATGCAACAATTAAAATAATTTTACTGAGTTACAGTTCATTTAAGGAAATCGGTCATTTGAAATAAATGATCAACATTTCTGGGATCTTTTATTTCAGCTCATGAAACATGGGACCAACACTTTACGTGTTGCGTTTATATTTTTGTTCAGTATATACAGTGGGGAAAAAAAGTATTTAGTCAGCCACCAATTGTGCAAGTTCTCCCACTTAAAAAGATGAGAGAGGCCTGTAATTTTCATCATAGGTACACGTCAACTATGACAGACAAAATGAGGAAAAAAAATCCAGAAAATCACATTGTAGGATTTTTAATGAATTTATTTGCTAATTATGGTGGAAAATAAGTATTTGGTCAATAACAAAAGTTTCTCAATACTTTGTTATATACCCTTTGTTGGCAATGACACAGGTCAAACGTTTTCTGTAAGTCTTCACAAGGTTTTCACACACTGTTGCTGGTATTTTGGCCCATTCCTCCATGCAGATCTCCTCTAGAGCAGTGATGTTTTGGGGCTGTCGCTGGGCAACACGGACTTTCAACTCCCTCCAAAGATTTTCTATGGGGTTGAGATCTGGAGACTGGCTAGGCCACTCCAGGACCTTGAAATGCTTCTTACGAAGCCACTCCTTCATTGCCCGGGAGGTGTGTTTGGGATCATTGTCATGCTGAAAGACCCAGCCACGTTTCATCTTCAATGCCCTTGCTGATGGAAGGAGGTTTTCCACTCAAAATCTCACGATACATGGCCCCATTCATTCTTTCCTTTACACGGATCAGTCGTCCTGGTCCCTTTGCAGAAAAAACAGCCCCAAAGCATGATGTTTCCACCCCCATGCTTCACAGTAGGTATGGTGTTCTTTGGATGCAACTCAGCATTTCATTGTCCTCCAAACACGACGAGTTGAGTTTTTACCAAAAAGTTCTATTTTGGTTTCATCTGACCATATGACATTCTCCCAATCTCTTCTGGATCATCCAAGCACTCTAGCAACTTCAGACGGGCCTGGACATACTGGCTTAAGCAGGGGGACACATCTGGCACTGCAGGATTGAGTCCCTGGCGGCGTAGTGTGTTACTGATGGTAGGCTTGTTACTTTGGTCCCAGTACATGTCCAGGCCCGTCTGAAGTTTGCTAGAGTGCATTTGAATGATCCAGAAGAGGATTGGGAGAATGTCATATGGTCAGATGAAACCAAAATATAACTTTTTGGTAAAAACTCATCTCGCCGTGTTTGGAGGACAAAGAATGCTGAGTTGCATCCAAAGAACACCATACCTACTGTGAAGCATGGGGGTGGAAACATCATGTTTTGGGGCTGTTTTTCTGCAAAGGGACCAGGACGACTGATCCGTGTAAAGGAAAGAATGAATGGGGCCATGTATCGTGAGATTTTGAGTGAAAACCTCCTTCCATCAGCAAGGGCATTGAAGATGAAACGTGGGTGGGTCTTTCAGCATGACAATGATCCCAAACACACCGCCCGGGCAACGAAGGAGTGGCTTCGTAAGAAGCATTTCAAGGTCCTGGAGTGGCCTAGCCAGTCTCCAGAGCTCAACCCCATAGAAAATCTTTGGAGGGAGTTGAAAGTCTGTGTTGCCCAGAGACAGCCCCAAAACATCACTGCTCTAGAGGAGATCTGCATGGAGGAATGGGCCAAAATACCAGCAACAGTGTGTGAAAACCTTGTGAAGACTTACAGAAAACGTTTGACCTGTGTCATTGCCAACAAAGGGTATATAACAAAGTATTGAGAAACTTTTGTTATTGACCAAATACTTATTTTCCGCCATAATTTGCAAATAAATTCATAAAAAATCCTACAATGTGATTTTCTGGATTTTCTTTCCTCAATTTGTCTGTCATAGTTGACGTGTACCTATGATGAAAATTACAGGCCTCTCTCATCTTTTTAAGTGGGAGAACTTGCACAATTGGTGGCTGACTAAATACTTTTTTTCCCCACTGTATGTGCTATTTGTAAACATTTAGTAAAAATATTTAATGGAAATAACTCAATCATTATTTCATTTAATTAGTGTAAAGATGAACACAAACCATACATACGCTGAACAAAAATATAAACGCAACATGTAATGTGTTGGTGCCATGTTTCATGAACTGAAATAAAAAATCCCAGAAATGTTCCATACGCACAAAAATATTATGTATCTCAAATTTTGGCAACAAATTTGTTTACATCCTTGTTAGTGAGCATTTCTCCTTTGCCAAGATAATTAGTTTTGTTCAGTATACAATATGTATTTCAATACTTTCAGACTCCTGGTACAGGTAATATTAACAAGAACAGAACATTTGGTCCATGACAGAAATGAGACCAAATCTGGATCAAAATTACTCATTACTGATTTACGTTTAACTATACTGAACAAAAATATAAACGCAACATGCAACAATTAAAATAATTTTACTGAGTTACAGTTCATTTAAGGAAATCGATCATTTGAAATAAATGATCAACATTTCTGGGATCTTTTATTTCAGCTCATGAAACATGGGACCAACACTTTACGTGTTGCGTTTATATTTTTGTTCAGTATATACAGTGGGGAAAAAAAGTATTTAGTCAGCCACCAATTGTGCAAGTTCTCCCACTTAAAAAGATGAGAGAGGCCTGTAATTTTCATCATAGGTACACGTCAACTATGACTGACAAAATGAGGGAAAAAAATCCAGAAAATCACATTGTAGGATTTTTTATGAATTTATTTGCAAATTATGGCGGAAAATAAGTATTTGGTCAATAACAAAAGTTTCTCAATACTTTGTTATATACCCTTTGTTGGCAATGACACAGGTCAAACGTTTTCTGTAAGTCTTCACAAGGTTTTCACACACTGTTGCTGGTATTTTGGCCCATTCCTCCATGCAGATCTCCTCTAGAGCAGTGATGTTTTGGGGCTGTCGCTGGGCAACACAGACTTTCAACTCCCTCCAAAGATTTTCTATGGGGTTGAGATCTGGAGACTGGCTAGGCCACTCCAGGACCTTGAAATGCTTCTTACGAAGCCACTCCTTCATTGCCCGGGAGGTGTGTTTGGGATCATTGTCATGCTGAAAGACCCAGCCACGATTCATCTTCAATGCCCTTGCTGATGGAAGGAGGTTTTCCACTCAAAATCTCATGATACATGGCCCCATTCATTCTTTCCTTTACACAGATCAGTCGTCCTGGTCCCTTTGCAGAAAAACAGCCCCAAAGCATGATGTTTCCACCCCCATGCTTCACAGTAGGTATGGTGTTCTTTGGATGCAACTCAGCATTCTTTGTCCTCCAAACACGACGAGTTGAGTTTTTACCAAAAAGTTCTATTTTGGTTTCATCTGACCATATGACATTCTCCCAATCCTCTTCTGGATCATCCAAATGCACTCTAGCAAACTTCAGACGGGCCTGGACATGTACTGGCTTAAGCAGGGGGACACATCTGGCACTGCAGGATTTGAGTCCCTGGCGGCGTAGTGTGTTACTGATGGTAGGCTTTGTTACTTTGGTCCCAGCTCTCTGCAGGTCATTCACTAGGTCCCCCCGTGTGGTTCTGGGATTTTTGCTCACCGTTCTTGTGATCATTTTGACCCCACGGGGTGAGATCTTGCGTGGAGCCCCAGATCGAGGGAGATTATCAGTGGTCTTGTATGTCTTCCATTTCCTAATAATTGCTCCCACAGTTGATTTCTTCAAACCAAGCTGCTTACCTATTGCAGATTCAGTCTTCCCAGCCTGGTGCAGGTCTACAATTTTGTTTCTGGTGTCCTTTGACAGCTCTTTGGTCTTGGCCATAGTGGAGTTTGGAGTGTGACTGTTTGAGGTTGTGGACAGGTGTCTTTTTATACTGATAACAAGTTCAAACAGGTGCCATTAATACAGGTAACGAGTGGAGGACAGAGGAGCCTCTTAAAGAAGAAGTTACAGGTATGTGAGAGCCAGAAATCTTGCTTGTTTGTAGGTGACCAAATACTTATTTTCCACCATAATTTGCAAATAAATTCATAAAAAATCCTACAATGTGATTTTCTGGAATTTTCTTTCCTCAATTTGTCTGTCATAGTTGACGTGTACCTATGATGAAAATTACAGGCCTCTCTCATCTTTTTAAGTGGGAGAACTTGCACAATTGGTGGCTGACTAAATACTTTTTTTCCCCACTGTATGTATCTCTGTTAATGTGGCAAAAACATGCTTCTCCCTCTAATATCTGCTTGGACACGTCACGTAGTATGTTCATTGCATGTTTGTTAGGTAACTTTTCTCTGAAAGGTATTTGGATTTATTAAGGATCCCCATTAGCTCCTACCAAGGCAGCAGCTATTCTTCCTGGGGTCCAGAAAAATTAAGGCAGTTATTTTCCATTAAAAAAAACATTACAAAACAGTTCACAACAGATTTCAAAACACATTACGTGTGCCCTGAGGCCACTACTCTACTACCACTTATCTACAACACTAAATCCATATGTACCTGTGTGTATAGTGAGTATGTTATCGTGTGTGTCTGTGCCTTTGTGTGTCTCTTCACAGTCCCTGCTGTTCCATAAGGTGTATTTTTATCTGTTTTAAACAAATCTGATGTTACTGCTTGCATGAGTTACTTGATGTGGAATAGAGTTCCATGTAGTCATGGCTCTATGTAGTACTACTGTGTGCCTCCCATAGTCTGTTCTG